CAATGGAAAGGACACATCTGCCCTTAGTACTTACATAATAAATAAAGTAAATAAAGCTGAAATAAATAACAACTGAATTAACAAACTGACACTACTATAACTGAAACAAATAACTACACATGCTGTCCTACGAACACAGTGGGGACCACTGCAGTGGGGCCCACATCAGTGTTCTCTACGCTCTTATTTTTTTGTCCTTTTGTATAGGGACTGGAGGTATATGTTCTGTGCAGTGTGACAGGCACTTCTTTTTGTACATGTTTGAGGGTTCCTCGCCCTCCTTTCTTTATTAATATAATCATTTTACCGCTTATCAAGAAAAAGACTACAAATACTAAAGCTCCATACACCCTTTCCCTTCTCCTAGCCAAACAACTAAAAGACAGAAAGAGCTATAAGCTAAGAACATGGACTATTTACATTCATTATAAAATGAAAAGAAGGAAAAATACAGAAAGAAAGTACATATGTATAATGAACTTGTGCTTCATGTTGCAGCTTAAGGCATTGCTTATCGAGACAAATGGCCCTTCATTACTCATATTTTATACCACATTTACATATAAATATTAACAGTGCCTGGTCCCTATTGAAATTGATATCTGTGACAATTAAAGATAACTCTACAAGCTCCAGTCACAAGCATATAAAAATAAAGGAGAAAAGTTGGAGTATTCAGCTAGGCAAAAAGAGACTGCCAAAGTGGAGAAGAGAAAAAAGCAATCTCTCCCACTTGACCAGGACATTTTATTTATTATTATCTCACAAAATCTCAGTTTTTGAGTAAGGTTGTTTAGGATCCCTCTTTGACTAATAGTCAAGGGTGGTCTGTCTCTCCAACCGGGTTGCTCTCATGTTCCTCCTCTGATGCCCTTCTTCTTTCTTCAACTCAGGCAGTACCTTTTCCAGCTAAAGAGGTTTGGTGTAGGCGTGTAGCCCAGTGTTAGGGCCTACTGCTGGGATTGCTTCCCCTAATATATGGTTTCTCCATTTTGACTATGGTGAGATTGCTTCCCATTTATTAATCTCCTGTTCTTTACATCCTACATTTGGAGGTGGCTTTCTTCTCTCTTTGGTTGCAGGTGGGCAGCCCCTTGTGTTGCAGGTCTCTCTAATACGAATTTCATGAGGCAACAAAAGAAAAGAGGAAAAACAATGTTGAGAGCTATATAAGGGCAGAAGTAGTTTGAGCAATTTGAGAAGAAAGAAATACCCAAATCTTTCAAGGAAAAATCAGAGGAAGAGCTAATAGARAGTATCACTTCTAAGGTTGCACATTGGTTAAAAACTTTGGGCATGTTCAAGAACTATTCCTTAGATGATATTACGAGAATTGGAAGGTAGTTGCAGATTCTTCTTCCCCAAAGGCATTGGTTCATGAGAGTTGGGCCCCACCAATAATTCATAACTTTAAGATGAATTTGATGTAAGTTCTTATGGCAATCTGGGTCCCTCAGGTATAGGTGGAGTGATAAGAGATGGGGACRGAAAGGTAGTGGCAATCTTCCTCTGTCAGATTAATTTGAAGCAATTTAATTATTTAAGCAACCTAGAAATAGATGGAGACCACCATAAAAGAAAAGTAAAAGAATGGCCTTAATGAAATTGTGATAACAAAATTTTACCCAAAAATGTTTGTGCATTTGAGTCCACTTGCACGCATGCAACCATTGACTCTGGATTTCTTTGACTAGAATAATTATCACATTCCTACAAAATATAAAATAAAAGTAGAAAAAAAAAAGAAATTTGAGTTTTCAAATTATATCTTCAATTAATACATGCAAATCAAGAAAACAAATGCACCATCCAGTAAAAAAATTACTATCCATACAATCTGTACACAATATCTCAAAAACTGGGCATATGCTTCCTCCCAAATATGAGTCACACGTGAATGAATTAGATCCTGCAGGTTGTGAACATAATAGATTATCTAGTGAGCATAAAGACATTAACAACTTTTAGCATAAAGTCACCAAATATTTGAAACATGACCACAGTTCTATTGAAACATTAACAAGTCCCCAATCCCTAAACAAAAATACTTGAAAATTCAATTCTTAAGGCCATTGAAACAAGAAATGTTAATGCTAGAAAAACTGCTTCAGATTCCGACTTTGGGGTACATCCCATTTTGATACATAGAGCACATCCTATGGCATTATCATCATCTAAGCCATATGAAAAATTGAATGTATCAAAATTGATTAATTGATGTATTTAGTATATGTAATAATTCAGAAAATTAAAAAAAGATGTCAAATTTTGGTGGAAATTATTCCTGTATTAATAACAACAAATTTACTGAATGTCTTGGGGTGTATTTTTGTGCTAAGGTCAACAGATGAAGGCTATGTTTGGAATTGCAGATAATAGATCCTTGTTCATGATAAAACACAAAAATTTTGGGTGTTTAGTTTAACTAAAACTCTTATTCATATAGATCAAAAGTAGCTATTTGAAAAGATAAATTAAAAGGAGATGAGGGTTTTTTTTTCCTTGTCTGTGGTTATCTCCTTTTCTTGATTGATAAAATTGGAGACTTCGTTAATTTTTACTATATAATGTCAATACTCGCCTTGGCTTCACATCCAGACCACCAAGTGAAAAATTTAATCCATTTATTTTCCCCTCTCCATTTTTTTCCCTTGCTCATCTCCCCTCTTGCACGTGCACAAGCCACTCAATTAGTAATAACAAAATAATTTTATGTACAAAGTAGGCTGACCCTCTTTGTTAGGCTAGCTAATGCTATCTCTATGATGCCTAGATATGAATTGGACATGGAAATGAGGACACAACCATCCATTTACTAAAAACCTCGACATGGATACAACAAAGCATGGGTATTCCCATCAAACATGCTTACATCATGTTTATATATAGTTTTTGAAGTCATGTCATTTCTTAAGACTTGTGTTTTACCATATATAATTAGATTTCTAACATCTGTAGATTTTTTTTAGTATAATTTGTTAAAACATACCATTTTACATATTTTAAGTGTTAAAGCCATAGAATTCATTTAGAAGTTTCCATGCAGTATCTGGTATCATATCTAATAAGTATCCTATCCGACACCAGTATGCTAGGCATGTACAGGTATCCATGTATCATACGGCTACCTATCCCCATAGTACTCAGTTTACATACACTGCAAGTGGTTACCTGCCAGTACATATGTTCCCTGATTACCCCTTGTTTGGTCAATGAATCAGCCAAAGTATCTGTTGATCTGGACCCATATACTGTTTATTTTCTCCTTTTTGCAGACTGGAGTAGTAAAAATGCATATCCATAAGTTGAAACTTTTTACCAACCATATTGCCCCCCATATAACACTTTTTACCAACCATTAGCCCCTCGAAATTGTTATAATGCACAAGACCTACCCTCTTACAATTTGAAAATTGCTTGGGTATCCCCTGGCCTTTAAACAATCCAGTTTGGGTAAACTTTGGCTGTTTGCAATTGAATAAAACAGCCCAGGCTGTTTGATTGCTCCCCAAGCATGACAAGTATTCATCATCAAACATTCAATTAACACTGGTGTTAAAAACTCAATTTGCCTTTTCATTTGTCAAAAAGAAAATAAATACAATTTTTTTTCAAAAAACCCAACCCATTGTAATAATGATTCTGACTCCCCAAAAACCCTTCCCTCCCCAATCTGGTTTCTTTCTCTCCCTCTCTCCCCAAAATCCCTTCCACCCGTCCCACTGCTGCAACACGCCAGTGGAACTTATTTCCAACACCAAAATACGCTGGTTAATCATTTGAACGGGTTAATTGTTCAATCACTCAAGATATTGTTTAACGTTCTTGAAAGTGCAAATCTAGACCAATTGTTCAACACTGTTGAAGGCATCTGTTAGTCCTCTCTTTGATCGACAGTTTGGGAGATTTTCTTTCAACATTGCTCTCACCAGTGGGATACTTTGCTGTTTACTTTACCAAGTCATTTTAGAAACCTTTCTTACCAGTGAGATACATTGACCAATAGTTCAAAATTGATATCAAGGCCTTCTCTTGCTGTCTGGAAACTCTGTTGTTCTCACCTGCAAGAACCGTCATATTTGGGATTAAACGATTGCCCAAAGTGATTGAATGATTACCCATTGAAGTGAAGAACCATCAACCAACATATTCGGCATGGAAACAAACTCCACCAACAGTTTGCAGCGATGGAATGGGTGGGATGAGACTTGAGAGAGAGGAGAGAAAGAAACCTAGAATAGGAGGGATGGACAGGAAAGGTTTTTGCGGAGTCAAAATCATTATTATGATGGGATGGGTTTTTTGAAAAAAATAAATTGTATTTTTTTTGACAACTGAAAAGGTGCTTTTAGTGCCAGCGTTACTTGGACGTTTGGTGGTGAATACGTGTCATGTGCAGGGAGAAATCAAACAGAGTTTTCCCATCCAGTTTTATCCACATTTTTACACAAATAATTCATATTTATCCATAAGGTGCAAAACTTCCTTTACAGAGTATTCACAAATCAATGTTACAGATCTTTCAATTCCAGAAAGGAATAATCACCTGAAAACACTCCATTAGATGCAACTGTGAAAGGATATTTGTTGTCAACTTCTTCATTTTCATTTCTAGTTCTTCCAATCCAACTGTGGATAGAAATAAAGGGCCAAATTAAAAGAATTAGAATTCCAAACCATCAAACTACCCATGCATAATAAATAACTTCTAATGTTAGTAAAAAATGGAAGTAGAATATATATATATATATATATATATATCATGAAGCATTGCCTAGATGCTCCAATTTAACTTAGACTTCCATGTTTCCTCAAGTCATTTCAAAACACTTTCAAAGAAGCAAGGAGAGGGTGGATTTGGAGAAAATGGAGGTCAAGTGATTAGAATTTGGGTGGAGAGGGATCTTTAATGCATTGAAAGGGTTAAGGAAAGGGGTTGGCAAGAGAAGAGGTGATGAGGGACAAGAGGGAAGGGGAGGAGTTGGAGCTAAAAAACATGTAGGGCAGAGTGTGGCTTATCTTCAAAATGAGAACTTCTATCTAGGTCTTGTTTAATCTTTGAGCCTATCACTGTATAGCATGGTTACCAAAGGTCAAATGAGGAATGTGAAAGAGGGAAATATGGGTGGAACCAGATACGGCTTTTAGAAGGTGAGAGGTGTTGAAGTTATTCCAACAATACTTGTGAATTGGAGAGTAATATGGAATCTCCAGAATAGGGGAAAAATCTAAATGAAGTCCATGAGATTGTTGCAAAGGGAAAGAAGTCTACATGAAGCCCATAACAATGTGGTTAAGGAGAATGACAAGATTGAGAATAAAATTTCCCTTTTGTTCTTTTTTTCTTTTTCGGTGTTATGCTCAATTGTTTTTTCTACTTTAGTGTGATTCAATTGAAGGCCTCAAATTGATTTTGGAGTGACTTTATAGTTGATCAAAAAGAGAGGTGCAACTCCATTATCTTCTTCTACCATTTTCTTCTCTTTTCTGTTTTTTCATTATTAATTTGTAAAAGATTTTGATCATCCACAAAGGATATACTGCATTAAAGTGGTACCAGAACAGGATTCATATAACAAACACACATACAAGATAAGTTAAGAGAAAACTTTAATACCCATCCCCAAGCATGCACAAATTTGTGTATGCAAATACCTATGTATGTAGTTGCACAACAATCTCCTAACCCATATCTTCCTTTTCAAATATGCCAAGTTAGATCCCTCTCACATTGTAAAGCTTAAGTCATATATCCAATTATCCATAGACTTGTCCAATCAATCCCCTGATATGCAGTAGATACTAACTCATATCCATGTCCAGGCAGCAACTAATAACGAACAAAATGTTGTACTGCTCAAAACTTCAATTTGGCCAATTAGCAAATCCAATCATCTTTTATTTTATTATCTATTTATTTTTATCAGTAGCAAATCTCTTTTATTTCATTATAATTTCGAAGAAACAACAACTTTTTTGTATATTCAATATGACTTACATAAGTGTTCAAGACATAAGTCACCAACAACTAAAACCCAGTAACCATTAGCATATCAAATCCATTGAAGACAACAATGTCAGATGATCAGAAGCAGTCTCAAGTATGGGTAAGGAACATATTAAGTATGAGCAGTAGATCCTAAGGTCTGTGGTCTCCAAGGCATTATACTCAAGAAGTCCATGCCTTTGGTTCTGGAATGAACAGCACATTCAGGTAGATTCCAACTTCAGTTAATTCATTGAAATGGATCAACAAGGAGAAGAGTGGAAAGACCCAATGATATTGAGGCTTCTACATGCCAGGATAGTGATTTATGTATTTTAGAGTTTTGATTATAAATCCTGGAATGTTTCTTCAGCTGTAATTCTTATTGATCATATGGAGATGTAGGAAAGTTCTGGTATTCTGTGGTAAAAGCATTTATCATATGGAGACTGACAGCTGGGATGCAGGGTTAAACAGACATTCTACATTTACCTCTCTGAGGATCCATTCACAAGTTTTTTTTTTTTTTATTGGAAACGGTAGCTTCATCAAAATAACTTTCCAGATTTAAGTACAGCTGTCAACCCCCAAGTAGGTGTTGAGCCCCCAGTAATCTTTCTTATAAAACTGCCCAGAACATACTCTCCCTCACAGTCCCTTGTTTAGCCAACGTGTCAGCTAAACCATTAGCTGATCTCCTTGTCCATTTGAAGCATGCACCGATCTCCCTTGTTATATTGTGGATTTCCCTTATGGGCTGTCTACAAATCCAGGCTCCCAACTTACCAGATTGCAGCCACTCAATCAACAATTTAGAGTCTCCCTCAATCGCAATTTGGTGTAACCCCAATTTGGTGGATCCATTCACAAGTTTCTACCTTTTTCCTTCAACTCAGCAGGTATAAACCAGTAAGAGGGGATAGAGTATCTTTTTTAAGAAGATTTGTGGTGATGAACCTCCCACTAAACAGAAATTCACAAGACCCTATACCATATAATTGTCTGAGAAATTTACTATATCTTGCTTTGTATCAGCTTCTTTTTTGGAGCTTGATTAGAACCGAAGACTTAACAGGAACTTTTTTTATCATGAGAGTGGAGAGATATTTGACCTTTTCTATCTATTGGGGATGTTTTCCTATCTTATTCTCGAACCCATGAGCTTTGAATCTCATGGATTGTTCCCAAGTGCCCCTTTTTCTTTGCTTTATGCCCATTGCGCAAGAGTCACACCACTCACCCCCTCTCACCCCACCAAAGATTAGCCAATTCAATTGGAAGGTGAGGCATTTGAAAATCAACACTTTATGGCATGATTTAGCAGGAAAAACCTACTTGGCCCCTATAACCTTGTATGTTTCTCCTCACAACACCTATGGTCAAACAACTTACAACCTACTATTCTCCAACTGCTATGCTTCAAGAAGTTGGGAAAATTTTTTGCAGTATCCTGAATGAGATGATAGACATTTCAACTTGATCTGACTATTTTTGGTTCTTCCCTCCAACTTTAAGAAAGAAATCATGTGGAGTTTTGCAGCAGTTTAGTGGTCAATATAGGAAGAGAGGAAAGTTAGGGTTTTTCCTTTAGGGCAGCAAATGGATTGAATTTATTCCAATTCAAATTTGAATCCACTTCATTTAAGTCAGACTCGGATATCTGGTTAATCATTAATCAGATATGAAAACATGATCTGTTTATTATTCATATTAAACTTGGATATGCTTGATCCAATTTTATATATATATATTGATCAATAACTGAAATGAATTCGTTAAATAAAATTAAAGTACAAAGAAAAAGGGAGAGATAAACTCTCCCAAAACAGTATCACATGTTTACAACATAGCCTAATGCCAAAATAGTTTATTCCTTCCCACCCCTTGTTTAGCCAGTGCATCGGCAAAGAAATTAACATCTTTTTTAATAGTATATATTTTCCAGTAGAAGTGTTTGCAAGTCCATGTTTTCTCATCTTGTCAAGTTAAGACTCATGGACACTCATGATTGGGGATTGACTCCTAGATAATGGTGGTACAGTAGAAGAGATAAGGGTGAAGGTCCTAGGTGTTTATCAGCTTTTATATTTGAAAGGCTATAATCTTAGCAACCAGAGAGAACCTTCTCTAGCAGACTCTTTGGCCAAAGGTAGGGTTGATAGGGATTACGGGTGAGTTCTATTCTTCTCATTGTGGATGCAAGGAGATGTTTTAATGTGACACCGACAGCCCTTGTATTGTTTCTTTTCCTATTTTCTCTTTTTCTTGTCCTGCTCTTCTTGTGCTTACTTATTCTTCTTTATTAACAACAAAAAAAAAAATATCTTGCAAAAAAGGAGGTCTAATTGGTGTCTCTCTCCAAACAAGTGTTTCTTGTGTGATGCAAGCGGGGAAACTACTGTCCATCTAATAATCTCCTGCAGTTTCACTTCTAGTATTTGGGATTGGTTCCTATCTCTCATTGGTTTCAGGTACTTGAGTAGTATTTTCCTGCCCTACTTTCTCAATCTACCTAAATGAAGAGGCAAGATACTCTAGAGATGTACTAGAGCAGCTACTCTACGGACCATAAAGGAAGAAAAGAATAACAGAATCTTTAATGATAATAAGTTATCCAAGGAGGCAGTTATTAGAATGGTGAATTGGGTTAAAACCTTGGGTTATCTTTGCTAGTTGCTCCATTCTCAAAAATGGCATTATGAAAGGATGGAAGGTGGTTGCTTCTTCTTTATCAAACCAAGTGAAGCTGAACTTGGATATCTAGAGATTGGATTGCAAAGCCTTTAAATCAAGTGAAGCTGAGCTTTGATGGATACAGTTTAGGAAAATCCAGGGCTGTCAAGCATTGGAGTTTATAGAGATAATAATTGGGCTGTAATTGCATTATCTAAGGGTCAATTGGACTAAGACATTCCACGAGGGCTAAATTGATGGCAGTTTTGCATGCTCTAAGGTTCACCAAAAGGCTTGGCTTAACAAATGTCAGTCACATGGATACATGGGGAAGCAAATTGTATGGCTCACGCTCTGGCCAGACAAGCAAGGAGCAAATGGGGAATTGGGGATCAAATGTACTAGGGAGAACTATTGAGAGTCCTACATAAATCAGGGCAAATAGTATGGGCATGGTGGCTTATGCCACCATTAAACCTATAGACATATATCCCATTCTTTCATCTTAATTAATAAACTGAAAGTCGCATCAACTTCTCAGATTCTAGATTTCTCTATTCTGATGTTCTTAAGTTTCTATTTGGGATAACCAGTGAACCGTTCTTCCACTTTTGACCTTGGGAAGATATTGAAATGCCATCTTCCAATAGCAGGACATCATCCAGTATGCTACAGTTTAACTTAGAGAAGTTATAACCTTCAAGAAGGCATATAGACAAACTTCTATATCATCAATATCAAGTGGTTTGTGGTTGTTGTTATAATCAAATTTTCAACCCGTCTGTGACCTGCACTAGTGCAATTGAATATCAATATATAGATGAGTTCCAGATAAATATATAAAAATTCTCTTTGCCACAGAAGAAAGTTCCTACCACTAGGAGACATGAAAAAAGAATTCAGCCGGCTTCCAAATTGTTTGAAAAGCCCCTCCTGCATTTTCCCCTCAATCCAACTCTTCACATCCTGAAATATGCAAAGAACTGAGAAGAATCAAAAGGAACAAAAACAACTAGATATAATTAAGACAAAAAATGGAATAATACATATATGAACTAATGTTTCAACATCCATACAGGTCTTAGCTGTAGAATTTATCCTTGTATGTAGTACATAAGTGTAGAGCAAGACTGAGTGACAAAAGTGGGTCCAAACAAACTTACAATCAACCGAAGAAGCTATACTCTAGAACTCAGTACATTCATGAGTAATCAATTAGCAAATTCAACATCGCAATCCAAAAATAAGCTCCCTGGACCAAGGATCAAACAGTGATCCTTTGTTTTCTTAAATCTTATGGTTACACAAATGTGACTTAACACTCTATATATATCCTTAAAAAATTAATTTAAGATCTCTTCTTTGGCAGAAGATTTCTGCTGAGCAACAAACCCACAAAGTAAAACATAAGCATCATTTTGTTTCATTCAGATGGCCTGTACAACATGCTGACTAATGTTCTCAGGCATCCAATTTTAGTATACTATTTTCAACCTAAGTAATATAAATTTCTCGATAAAGATATGACAAAGAAACATATCAAAAGCAATTATGTATAGGACAAAAAATAAGATAAAATTATAACAGCATATTTCAGAAGAAATGATTCTTGTGAGGATAGAAGAAATACCAGATGAATGAGATTATGAAGATTTCTAGACATGGCCAGTATCCCCTGCATTGCCATTCATACATAAGAAGCAAAAATATAACAAATTCGAAGCTCAAATTATAGAGTACCAATTTGTCTAAAACTCTAAATAGATACATCCTAGATTAAGGTATTGGTGGAAATATCAGTCATCCAAATGTAGGAAACACGTTGGACATGTCAAATGGAAATATTTTAGAAATTCTACACATGGTGACAACATTGTGAAATATGTGGAAATATACAACAATATTTTATGAAATGAAAAAAGAAGCATAATTACACCCTTTTAGATTGTTTCCTTGTTCCAAACCATCTAAAAAAGCCATGAAACTAAGGTTGATAGACCAAATAATATGCTACAAAATTGTCTTGTAGACTTCAAGAGTTAAAACTACATAATAGAGTAAGTTCAAGAAAAACTTAAAGAAAGTGCAAATGGTTCTAATAGATCAACCAAATAAAGTGGTCATCATTTCCATTATGTGGGCAATAATATTGCTAGTCCACATATCTACAATATTTTTTCCAACTCATCATATTATAATGCTATCTTGTGTACTCAACATAGTGCCAGTAGTTTTCACTGGGGGAATATGTCATTTCCAGTAATATTTCATGTTGGTATTCATGGTAATGAAAATACGTCATGAAAATATTAGAAATATGTTACTTATCAAAAAATGATAGGAAATATGTCGACATAACAAACCATGATTATTTATCAAAAAAAAAAAAACAAAAAACAAACAAACCATGATTCCCCAATCATCCAATTGATAACTACCTAAGAATTACCATCCACTTCCAGTCTCTGTTGATCCAAAGAATACATAAATCACAATCCGCACAATAAGCGAAAAACTTAAGTCTTGTATGCAATTCCATGACCTGACAAACCCAAACAAACATAGAGGATCCCACCAGTATTATATCTGAATGCTGCACCCACCCCTGAAGGTCTTGGGTTTCCAAAGGTGCAGCCATCAAGGTTAAAACTTAATGGCTCCTTCAGAGAAGGAACAGAAAGGCACAGGGATCTATCTGCTAGTGGAAGACCAAGAAATCTCCAAACATCCCCTCAAAATGTCATCCACTAAGAAATCAGCAAACACTTCTCTCATACACATCCTATGTGCCATCCTCATATGAATGGCAATGTTATATTCATCTAAGTTATTTTAATAATAACAAATTCAAGCATCTCTCCTACTGAACATAAAATAACTGCTCTAGCACACCTCTATATAATTTTCCTCCTTTAGTTAAAGGGGAGGATTTTATATAATTTTCTGTATAATTCTATACTACTATATGAATTCAATATTACTCATTAAAATACTTATCAAAATATGAATGTATGTACATCACATGCATTTAATAACCTCCCAATAGTAAATGAAATGCTCTAACAGACCTGTGAGTAAATGGATATCTGATTGAATGTCTCTGTTAAATGAAATTGTTGATCTACCTACAAAACCAGGAACCAAAGTGAACCTTCTAGTGGTTTGAGAAAGGAAACATAGCATGAAAGAGAGAGAGAGAGAGAGAGAGAGTGGAAAAAACAACAAGAAGAAAAAAACTTTTCAATAATAGGGCAAATTTCCAGAGAAAGATCATCACCCAATTATAATGGTAGCTGTAGAAATATTGTACCAATACAGAGGTGTAATCTTGTCACCTTACTTTAATGTTATCGTTAAGAATAAATGATAGTGGTTATGGTCAGCAAATGCATATGCTATGCTTCCAAAACTCTTGACTCACCCTTTACTTTAATTAATCCAAAAATAACAAGTTGGTAACAGAGAAAGGAGGACACTTGGGCCTACCTCTTCAATTGAGTTCAACTCTGCAAACTTGCAACTGATACCAAGAGGTCATACATATAACCACGGAAGGTGCCTGGGTCTCCTGAATCAGTTAAGGTTAAACTAGGTTTCACAGGGGTGTATTTTCATGTTTTTCTATGGTCACAAGGATGCTTAGATTGATATGCTGTTTTCAAAAGAGATACAATAGTTTGGTGTCTCATCTGCAGGAATTTATTTATAGTGCATCTGTTGGTTTAATTGATTACCTGTGTCTCTAGTGCTGAAGATGTTCGCTGAGAACAACATAAATGATAAAAGTCTCAAGTTGGAAGTATAGGGGTGTCAAGTAGAAATGCAGACATGTAAATGATTGGATATACCATGGATACTCTGGGACAAATTCCAAGCTTACAGAACATCTCCATTAAATTGGATGGTACCAATTATCTCAAACGCTTGCAAACTGTAAAGATGTATGTTAGAAGAAACCGAAATTAGCATATTTAATAGGAAAAATGGAGGTACCATATCCAAAGGATCCTGCATATAAAAGAGGGGAAGAGGGGAATTACATTGTTATGTCTTGATTGCTCATCTCTATGCCACCTCAGATTAAATCACGGATTCCTATTCCTTTATCCAACTGCCAAAGTTTGAGAAAAGGACACTAAATGTTGCTAAAAATTATCAACTTAATCAAAAGATCACTAGTTTTCATCAGGGAAGAAGGATTAATTCTCTTATTTTTCCTCCCAGAAAATTATTGGGAGGCTGTTGGACTTGTTTTCCTTTAACAGTTTGTTCGGAAATATGGAAGTAGAAAAATAGGACACTGTTTGAGAACAAAGATCTGGTGCTGGCTCTTCCAGAATTTGCTCAGACATCCAGATTAGAATTTGGAGATAGATTTTGGGAGACCATTGAATTGTTGAATGTTGTATCTTTGAGTATATACAACTAAGTTGTATCAAGGTGTTATCTTACACTTTCTCTCAGTTGTACTAATCKTTTTTGTTTTCTATTAATGAAATTTTTATTTTACTACCATAAAATTTGCCAAATTTTAGGACCATAGTAATGAAGAATTGTATTACAATTTAACTAAGGCCCCGTTTGGCGCGTCTTTCTGCACGGTCTGTCGGCTATTTACAAGCCCAGCAGACAGCGATTCGGTCTTTTTCCCGTTTGGTTCGCGGTAGATCTAGCCGCCAAAAGCTGATGTGCCAAAAAGACACGAGAAGCCCAAAATGAGCAATTTTCGGGAAGCTCCAAATGGAACTTTTGCGCTTTTTTCTATTCATCTTCGCGCGAAAAGACACGCTTTAACCAAATGGGCTTCAGGCTGCTCAGATCTTAATGCAAAAGCTCAATGCGTCTTTTGACTGTCAGAGCTACCAAAAGATTTTCCCAAAAAGACTTGTCAAACGGCCCCTAAACAAAACAGGTAATTGTATTCTTAGCAGGTCTGAATTCTGAATATAATATCACTCAAATTCAGATTTAAGGCAAAAAGGAATTACCCGACTCCAATTGATGAAGCTCCCAATCTAGATTTGCTACTAAAGAAAGGAGAACTCGAATAGAATTCATTTTTGCTACAGGTGCAAAGGTTTCCGCATAATCAACTCCATACACCTATGAAAAACCTTTTGCAACTAGCCGGGCCTTGTACCTCTCCACTATGCCATCTGCCTTATGTTTCACAGAGAATACCCATTTGCACCCCACAGGTTCCTTTCCCTCTAGAAGATCTGCCAACTCCCATGTGCCATTTTTGTGAAGGGCATTGATCTCCTCCTTCATTGCATTTGTCCACTCAGGAACAAGTAAAGCTTCTGCAACACTCTTAGGAAGGGAAACATTGTCAATAGCAAAGAGGAAAGCACGGAAAGAGGGTGAAACATTCTCATAGGATAAGGAAAGAGCCATTGGCTGGTGTGTGGTGCATGATCTGGCACCCTTCCTCTTAGCAATAGGAAGATCCAGATCACAATTAGAAGTATCAATATCAATGGGTTCAGGGACATTAACTGGAATAATAGTACCTGGATGTAGTGATTGATTCAACCCCTGAGAGTCCGATGGCATAGGTTGCACAGCTTCAGGATGCTTTGTGTCTATTTAACTTTGTTGGTCTCAACCTTGGCTTTTGTACCATTATCTATGAAAGACCCGAAATGGAGGAGGGTCAGTAGGAGAAGGCAACAAAACTTGTCTCTGTTTCTCCTCACTTGGACTTTCCCCCCAAGGAGAAGTAGTAAAGAAAGGCACATCTTCAAAGAAAGAAGCATCCATGGAGACAACGTACTTTTTGGAAATAAAGTCAAAGCAACGATAACCCTTTTGGCAAAGGGGGTACCCAAGGAAAACACAAACAATGGCTTTGGGATCTAACTTACCACGGGTAGGAGACAAATCATGGACAAAACACTAACACCCAAACTAGGCAACTGGGATCTAACTTACCCAAGGAAAACACAAACTGCTAGGCGACTGGGCGAGGCAAGCCTCCAAGGATGCCTTGTCGCCTAGGCGTTGCCTTGACAACTATGGTCCTAACAACATCCACCCAGAACCTTTTGAGAACATTCATGTGTATCAGCAACCCCCAAGCAACCTCTAGAAGATGGCAATTCTTTCTCTCTGCAACCCCATTTTGTTGAGGGGTTCTAGCACAAGAGCTACGATGAATAAAGCCACAAGTTTCAAAAAATTCTGTGAAGTCACCATGAAAATACTCTTTGGCATTATCTGATTGGAAATTTTGAATCTCTATTTGAAATTGTGTGTATACCATGCGTTGAAAGACTTTCACAAATTTAGGAACTTCGTCGCGAGAATGCATAGGGTACACCCATGTATATCGAGAGAAGTCGTCAATGAAAGATATGAAGTATCTATAGCCATTCTCCATTGGAATATTTACAAGTCCCTAAACATCAGAATACACAATGAAAAAAGAAACATCTGATATTTTATTACATAAAGAAAATGACGTTCTACAATGTCTGCTTAGCTGACACACTTGACACTGAAAATCATTAACTGGCACAAACTTAAACAATTCTGGAAACAAGTACTTCAAAGATTCAAAGGACAGATGACCCAAACAATTGTGCCACAAAGTAACCTGACTCTTATTTGACTGACTCAAAGACTCTGAGGCCACAAGACCAACTTTATTCTCAAATACATATAGACCATTCACCATGCTCCCTTTACCAATCGTCCTCCCAAAGGCCAAATCCTGAAAGACACAAGATTGAGGAAAAAAGGTTACTGAGCAGTTCAAAGAGTGTGTAATGCTGCTAATAGATAGCAAATTAATAGGCAGTTTTGGAACATGTAAAACATTTGATAGAGGTAAACCAAACGGCAAAGATATAGATCCTCAACCAGCAATGGAGGAGAAGGATCAGTAGTCGAATTTGTCCTAGGTTTAATGAGAAATTAACAAACAAAGAATGAAAAGAGAGAAGAGGAGAACTCGAAGAAGGGAATTCAGAAAAGAGAGAGAGACAATCAACAACCGCCCCACTCTTACAATTTATATTAATATTCGAATGAAAGTAAAAGGGTTGAATTACCCTTACTACTTACATGGCAAAATAATAAAAGAAAACTAATAACTATAAATTGAAATAAACTACCAACTAACAAACTGAATAACTAACTGCTAACTACAATCTAACTACAGTCATACGAACACAGTGGGGACCACATCAGTGGTCTCTATACTCCCCCTCAAGTTGGGAATAGATGTTTGTCATTCCCAACTTGCATAGATCAGCCTCTTAACTTCTTCCATGAAACAGCCTTGGTGAGAAGATCTGCAAGCTGCATGTCGGAGGTGATATATGCAAGACACACTTCTTGAGATGCAACCCTTTCTCTAATAAAATGTCGGTCCACTTCAATATGCTTAGCTTTGTCATATTGTACCGGATTATGGGCTATATTAATAGCAACCTGATTATCATAGTATAGCATTAAGGGCTTCTCATAAGCAATAACCAACTCCTCAAATAGTGATTTCAACCATCGTATTTCAGCCACACCATTTGCCATAGACCTATATTCAGCTTCAGCACTAGAACGAGAAACAACATTTTGTTTCTTACTCCTCCAAGAGATAAGATTACCTCCTACAAAAGCTCAATATCCAGAGGTAGACCTTCTATCATCAACACACCCAGCCCAATCAACATCTATGTAAACTTCTATCTTCATGTGATCATTATCCTTGAATAGTACACCTCTACCTGGACACCTCTTCAAATATGCCAATATCTTCTCAACTGCAAGTAGGTGACTAGTTCTAGGAGAGTGCATATACTAACTAACAACATTGACTTCATAACTGATGTCCGGTCGTGTGAGACAAAGATAGAGGAGTTTTCCAACTAACCGTTGGAACACAGCTTTATCTTCAAGGGGCTCTCCACCCTCCACACTAATCTTGTGATTCTGTTCAATAGGTGTGTCAGCAGGCTTAACACCCAACTTTCCAGTTTCTTCCAACAAATCAAGAACATGCTTTCTTTGAGAAACAAAAATCCCATGCTTGGACCTAGCTACCTCAATACCCAAGAAGTATCATAGCTCTCCCAGATCTTTTACCTCAAACTCTTGATGAAGGAGTTGCTTAAGAGACTCA